ATATTTTTTATAAATTATAACACATTTTCATATATTTCTATTAGAGTACAAGTTAATAAAATATTATTTTTTTATTGAAATAACTTTTGATCCAGATGGTAAACCGTCTCTAATTTTTTTATATTACTTATTTAAATGTAATTTATAATAATTTGTATTTTTTTAAAGTAATTTTTAACATATTGCATTTACTTTACAACTTCCTTAAAATTAAATGCAGCAATAATATAAGTTTATGCAATTTATGTATAATTATTTGTATCTACTTTCATGCAATTTTGAATTATTTACTCTATTGTCTTTGTTTTCTTTTTTTAGAAAACTCAACAAGACATAACAATTCATTTCAAAAACTTTACACAAACACATCACACATGATTATTTATCTACTAAAAACAAAGCTATATTTAAAAGTAACATATTGTACCTTTTGGAAAAGATCCGTAACCCTGTAGCTCGAAACTGGTGTACGAAATATTTCTTCGTATATTGTTGGATGTACATTTTTTAAATGTCGATTCAGGCCTGTTGTATTTCCTCCAGTCATTTTGATTTTCTTTTCTCTGGATTTGCATAATTTACAAATGCCGAATTTCTCTTTGGTATTTGTAGAAAATTCGTAGTATTCTTTTGCTGTCTTGCGCCTCTTTACAGGAATATGTTCGTCACTGTCGCTAAGTTCTTCCCCTTCTGATATATAATCTTCATCGCTGCTCATAATGATGATAAAGAAACACAACTTACACAACTAAAGATTCCGTAACTTAACCTAATCTGTCACATCGGATAAAAATGCGAGGAATCACGCGAGAAGCTGCGAAAGAATAACCAATGTAAAACAAATGACGATAAACAAATGAAAACTGGGCAGTCTGGCGAATTCAAACATCCTCACTCCCTTCCTAGGCTGCATTCCACTTAACGCTTGCAACGCTCGCAAGCATCGTTCGTCCTTGTTTAACATTTGATAAACGACAAAGATGAAATGATTACACGAGCGTTGTGAGCGTTTAGTGGAACGCAGCCCTAATACGATATTCACGCCACGCAGCATTTGAGATCACGAGACGAGACCGAGACGAGACCGAGACGAGACCGAGATGATATCAATTGAGACGAGATCGAGACCTTAATAATCGAGAGTTTTCCGAGACGAGATCGAGATCAATCCAAATCTCGTCTCGTCTCGGAAAAGTGAAACACTACGAAGACCTATCATCGCAAGATTTGTTGAACCGCTATTGTGGAGGATTCACATAGAACAACAACGAGTGCTTCAATAAAACTGTCTGGCAGTTCGCTCCAAAGCACTCTTTTTGTTCCTCAAATATCGTAACAATTGCGACATATTTGACCACCTGTATTTTCAACGAAGGTTTTAAACCGATTGTGAAAATTATGTCGGTTATGGGAATCACCATCGGCCCAAATGCATACAAGTATGCTTGCACTCGCGACGCTAACCGGATCAAAGATGCTGAACGATTATCGACGATTCACTCAATTGAGGCGAGAATGGCAAGGAAAAATGAAAGACTGCAGGAACAAATCAATTTTGAGGAAGTTGAAGGATTGTTATATGGTACTGGAATAGCTGACTAACGGTAAGTATCCAGATATAAACATTTATGTCGAAAAAATTATATTTAAAACTTTAAACGCGTTTTCTGGAAAACAACGTTTTTCGAGCTGGCGATCGTGATAACTCAGTCAATTTTCAACGAATCTTAATGTTTTCTTTTTTAAATACGCGTAATTAAATTGTCTAACGCGTGAACCAAAATTTTAAATTTGTGCCTTGAAACAAACGAAGGCAACTTCGAACAGTTACTCCGTGGGTAGGTAATTGATATAATTACAGTAATGATGAGAGGCAAGGGGACTCACGATAATCAAGCACCCCGATGGAAACTTACTACGTCCACGTTGTTGTTTCCGGGTAACGCTAAAAGTAAAGACAAGGTCTTTGAATTTTTCGCAGCTTTTCTACTATTTGAAGTACCGCCAAACACTTATCATGCATAAAAATCTTATAAATCTAAATTAACAGCTTCTAAGTGCTTTTTAATCATTTAACCTTGATTTGACCTTCTTAAACTCGCAATAACAAATTCTAAAATATTTCAAATGTAAAATTTCCCGCTCTTTTCGAATCCGGTGTCAAAAATAGGAGTTTCCATTTTAAAAAATAATCTTGACCTTCAAATAACCTTGAAAATCGACCTGAAGGTCAAAATTATTAGCACAGATAAATGACCCTCATTGTTCTCGATAATTTTTGTCCCAACCATTTTTTTGTAGCTGGCGTATTTTAGGAGATATTTGGATCCGTCGATTAAAATGGGTCATCGTGTATACCGGAATTATCCTATGGATATATTTAGATTTAATATAGTATATTTAATTGTATTAATATTATATTGTATAAAAAGCTTGTGTTGCTTAAAAAAATATAATCGATTTTAATATATTTATAATTATACATTTACAATAACAAAAAATGGAAAAAACGTAATATTGTATTATACAATTATTCTCATATAATACGGAGTATTCCAGCAATGTTACTGCTGTTGTACCCTTGGGTGAAGGATACAGGTAGGGGATTCGCCGAGGACCAGGACACACAAATAAACCACTAAATACAAACTAACACTTTAATAAATTTAGTAAATTCTTACAATCTTACAATTAAATATTATATGTTATAAGATTTAGTAACTTCACATATACTTCGCAATTACGCGTCGGCCCGATTTTGGTTTATATGATAAGTTCGCGTTCGCGTTGACTTGATGAATCGGTCGACTTATGTTTTATTCGTGTGAGCTGTGACGTACGGGCGTCGTCTCGGATCACAGCTGATGGTAAGACCCTGAGACCATGCCAATATGTCACGGTTAATATACTTGCTCGAACTGCTGACTTGAGTTGCACTTTGGTCAGCTGTTCGAGCAGATTTCGGTTGTTCTCTTTTTTGAATGCGGTCATTGCTGACACTTGCATCCTGATTTCTTAATTTGACGGGCAATGGCTTCCGTCTTTTTGCAACTTGTGAGAAACAGCTTGTAGTATTTGACAGCTTGTAGTATATGAAATTGAAGTAGGCAATGGGTACGCTGACTTTATGGAAGTCAATGATTTTTAGTTCAATTGCGAAATGACCAAATTACTAAATTATTGATTGCTAAATTGCTAAATTGCTAAGTTGCTTTATTTTTATTCTATTATATTGGTTATAGCTGTGGCTATAACATTCCTCCCCTGTTAGTTAGAAAAACAGTATGGGCTTGATACAATGGACTGTTTTTCTTTTACAAATATTTACAATTATTATACCCGATAACATTATAGTTATAATCGAATGTACTTAATTATATTCGACGTTGTCTATTTTTCATCCATTGTTTTATAATTATATAGGCTACTATTCCCAATAAGCCTAATACGATAATTCCGTTTATTGCTATTGTATATACAAATTATTCTTGTTGGTAGAAAGGACGTTTTCGATTTTTCTAATTTGAACGCTTAAATCCCTTAACTCAACGGAATTATGCAGAATTTGTTTTAACTTTATTTGATCGGTATTATTTTCTACCGCCGCTTGGTTGCGTAATAATTTTATGTTAACTTGAGGTAAATATGTCTTTATAATTTTAGTTTTTACATTCGATTCCGATTTTATTATTACGCCGTTCGTAATTAATTTACAATCATTTTGTAACGTGATTATGCCTGTATTCGTTACAACTTCATTAACTCCCGGTGATTCTTCGCATTTAATAGTTACGGATTCTTTATCTGCTACGGAGTATATCCATGCGTTTCTTATTCTAGTCCACAATGTATGTGGTGGGATGATAAGTTTATTTTCGCAGTTTTCATAATGATTTTCTTCATTCAAGTACATTTGTACTTCACAAATGGAATTTTTATTTATCCGTTTCATTATATAATTTTGTTCGCACAAATAATCCGAATTTATTTTTACGCATTTACGCTCGTCTTTTTCTGTTAACGTGATGTATGTATGTCTTTCTGTGTCTATGGCTATTCGCTCATTGTTTACTTTTACTGACACAAATATGTCGTCGTGGTCATACACAGGTACAGATGTCACGTGTATCATCTCGTATGTTGGTGACGTTGTTAAAGGGAATCGCAAAATTGTATATATATTGTTATGGTTATAGTATGCATTTACTTGGTAATTTTTCCTATTACTACCCATTCTTCAATGTTTAGGTTTAGGTTAAACGGAAAGTACAAGTCTTTTGGTAATCCCGTAATGGCTTCTTTTAAATTTATAATAATGTCTTTAACCGGCATTACTTTAGGATGTAAAATTCCTTCTTTAATATAATTAATGTAGTCGATCATTTCTGTTGCGTCCATCAATAGATCGTTTGTTAATGCGGTCAGAAGAGTAAAGTGTTCGTCTAAGTCATGTCTTCGACTAAACGAGTACTCTTGTTCTTTAAGTTTATCTATAAAGAATGTCACTGTATTTTCATTTTCTTGCAACGTTTGTTCTAGGTTGTCTATGTGCGCTATGGTTGAATTCATTATCTTTAATTGATTTTTTACTGTGTGTTTAATTACAGCATTTTCGTCGTGTAACACGGTTAACTGTTCTTTAATAATTTTATCGTCATTGGCGTCCATAGTGCCAAACAATGATTTCGCGATTGAGCCTATTCCGCCTATTAGGCCTCTTTTTTTATATTCGGCGATATTTTGTAAACAGTTTTTATTTTTTCCATATTGTTGCGTTTTATTATGTTCTTTTTCGAGAACTGTATATAAATTTTCGCAAGATCCTTTACCTGCTAATAACATCTGGCATAGTTGCTTTGTTCGCAATATATCTTCTTGCAATTGATTCGCTCTCTTCGCCAATGATGTGGTATCTGTTTGTATCACTAGCTTCCAGTTCTACAGATGGGTAACAGTTTTCCGATTTCTTCGAAATAAATCCCAGGATTGTGGTTGAATCTTTCGATTTTGTAAGGCGGGTTGATGACTTGCCCGTCAGCCGCATGGATCCACGAAATGATTCTGCAATTAATTGTTGCTGTTTATTTTTCTCATCCGTTCTATTTCTTCTTCGTATCGAATTTCTCTTCAGTGTAGCTTACCTCTTTATTTATCATGAGAGAGTTCTTGCTCTCTCACGTAACTTTATTTATAAAGTTTCATATTTAATATGCTTAGCATTTCATTTCTCTTCTTCTGAGCTTCGTTAGGCTTTTATTCCTGCTAAGTTTTTAGTTTCTTACGAATTTTCTTTGCGCAATCAACTTAAATCATGTTTTTAACCGTTGTTCCTTCGTTCGCGGAGATGTGCGAGGACGAGGATCAAGAATTTCCTATAGTCGCGAGTCCCGTTCCGTACTTTCTCATAAGGGAGGAAGAGAGCGACATCTCTGAGAGGTTTCGGGGTAACTGACTCGGACGAGGAGGATGAACTACCTGATGACCCGGTGGAGGTCATTTATATCTCCAATGAGGAGGAAGAAGTAGAGGGTGAAGATGACGAAGTCGAGTTTCTCGAACTCGTCAAAGAACTTGAGAAGGATCTGGAGGAGGAAGAACTCCTCTAAGCTCAAATTATGCCGGCCCCCGAATCAGATTCGGAGGATGATGAACTAGTTGATTATTAGTTTTATAACTCTTATAGTAGTTATAGTAGCTTAGTGTAGTGATACTTAGTGC